ATTCTTTCACAGTAGGGGAACAGTAGGGGGTTCCCCTACTGTTTACGGTCAAAAAAACCACTTACCAACTTGTTGAAGAAGAATACATTGTTTGTATGGATACCTACAGCAGATGCCGCCTTCTCGGCCTTGAAAAAAGACGTGAGTGCAGCTCCCATGCTAGCACTCCCTGACTTTTGTCGTCAGTTCGTGGTGGAGACAGATGCAAGTGCCACAGGAATCGGAGCGGTGCTGATGCAAGACAACCATCTCATGGCTTATCTAAGCAAAGCGTTGGCTCCCAGGAATCTTAGCCTATCAGCATTTGAAAATGAATGTCTGGCTCTGCTGCTAGCCATTGACCACTGGCGTCCCTACTTGCAACATGTTGAGTTCATCGTCCGCACGGATCAGAAAAGCCTTCTCCATTTGACAGACCAGAGACTCAACACACCCATCCAGCAGCGAGCTTTTACAAAGTTGATAGGGCTGCAGTACACTATCCAGTACAAAGCTGGCTTGACTAACCGCACCACGAACGCACTCTCACGCCGAGCGCACCCTGATCAGGAGGAGCTTGCTGCTATCTCTGTATCCAAGCCGGTTTGGCTCGAGGCGGTCAAGAACAGTTACCAGCAGGATACAACGGTGTGACAACGTCTGACCAAGCTGGCATTGGACCCCAAGAGCGAGCCTGATTTCACCATGCAGGAAGGGATCCTCCGATACAAAGGGCGCGTGTGGATTGGTAGTGACACCGAAATTCAGCAACACCTCATCCAGGTGCTACACGCAAGCGCAGCAGGAGGCCACTCCGGCTTCCACGCCACCTACAACAGGATCAAGAGGCTCTTTGCTTGGCACGGGATGAAAGAGCAAGTAAAAAACTTTGTCCGCAATTGTATGGTCTGTCAGCAGGCCAAAACAGAAAAGATCTCGTCGGCTGGACTACTCCAGCCCCTGCCGATCCCGAAGAAACCCTAGGCAGTGGTGTCTCTGGACTTCATCGAAGGATTGCCCAGGTTAGGAGGCTTTGACACAGTTTTGGTGATTGTGGATAAATTCTTAAAGTATGCCCATTTCTTCCCCTTGGCGCACCCATTCACGGCAATCCAAGTTGCAAAGCTGTTCATGAAAGAGATCTTTCGCTTACATGGCCTGCCGCTAGCTCTCATCTCCGACCACGACAAAGTGTTCACAAGTAAGGAGTGGCATGAACTGTTCAAACTGTGCCGTATCGAGATCGTACTGTGGCAGGATCTATTACTCGGATAATTGCTGGTTTGGTACTGAAGACTTCATGCCCGGTGACATAGTGTCGGTTGCAATATCGAACGATAGCAGCAGTGTGACATACCACAAGGAAGACAACTGAAAGAGTGGCATCACCGGCGATGGCTTGAAGAGGATCATATCGGTATGATACATAATGAAGGGTTGTATAGATGGTGGAATGTGGATTCTCCACCCAGATATATAGCTAGTCTAGACTCTGCGATATTAGCACATTGATAAACTCTCAATAAGAGAGATCATATAATACGTAGTAGGAGAGGAATAGAGGACAGATTACAGAGGGATCATCAAAGTAGGAGAAGAATATAGGAAAGATGACAAGGTCATGTGTCATTTTATAAGCAGGCTGTAATCTTATAATTTTTTGATATATAATATTTTTGTTGTTGTTGTTTTTTTTGAATTTTCAACGCGAGGGGGGGGGGGTATATATTCCGAGCCAGTCAGCCAGTACAAAGTACAACCACCAGATCGGCAGCAGAGAGGGAATGAAGGGGAGAGCTTACAGCCTAGGAGCAGTTGTAGCATCAGAAACTATTTCTATCCCCTTTTTTACACATGCGGGGCCTAAAGCCATGCGTCAACATGCCCGCGTTCCCCAGAGCGGAAACGGCTACGCCAGAGGACCACATCATCGCGGCAGGCCTTCAGGGTCACAGCCAGAGGGGGAGACTCCCGTCTGAACACCACCGCATTCCTCCTCTTCCAAAGATGCCAGCAACAGAACTGCACAAAAGCATGCGGTGATGCAGAGCCAACAGCGCCGAAGGCGTCGAAAAGATGCAGCGTCCGCACCGTGCCCCTAGCAGTGGAGAGGCCAAGGGCGCCCCAGAACACCCGGGTGAAGGAGCAGCCAAATATCAGGTGATCGGGCGTCTCCAGAGGCGTCCCGCACGCGGGGCAACCGGCTCCCTGCACCTCCACAATGTGCTTCTTTAGCAGGTTGTCCCGAGTGTGGACACGGCCAAGCGCGAGCTGCCAGACAAAGAACTTTACCCGAGACGGGGCCGGCGAGCTCCAGAGGAAGGCATTGTTCTCGACGATCTCACCCTCCAGGCGAAGGAGCTTGTAGGCAAGGTTCAAGGCGAGCTTGTCCTCCTTCTTCTCGCACAGAACCAAGCATCAGTGGTGGACGCCCCCCGCGGCCTCCCTCGCGCGTTCAATGAGCGGGAGTAGGACGAGGCGTTCCCGGGCCGCCGCGACAGAGAGCCGCGGCACCAGGACAGCATCAAGCCCAAGGGTGCGGATCGCCCAGACGGACGCCTCGCGCCACGTGGCGTGGGAGGCCAGCGCCGGGAAGGCAGTGCGTATCGGCCCGCAGGGGAGCCAGTGATCTTCCCAGAAGGCTGTCATCCGCCCGTCCCCCACGATGACGCGGGAAAGTGAACGGTAGAGGGGCATGAGGCCCCGCAAGCACACCCAGTGCTCACCGGCAAGCGTCGAGCCATGCGCATCCAGCAGTAGGCGCTCGCCAAGAGAACTCCAAACCCAGAACGCCCACTGGGACAGAGTGCAACCGGTGTAGGATCTTCAGGAGGAGCGAGTCGTTCTGGGTGGCGAGGTCCCTGACCCCAAGGCTGCCCTCCTCCTTGGCATGGCACATTCGGTCCCAAGCCACAAGGCATTGCACGCTGGAAGCGCGCTCGGCCGCATTCCATAAGAAGGCACGGCGAAGGGAGTCCTGCGCACGGATCACCTTGGGCGGGAGTTTGAGTGCGCCCATTGCATACGACGGAAGAGCATCAAGGACGACGTTGATGAGGACGAGCCGCCCCACGGGGGAGAGGAGACGAGCGCGCCACCCGGCGAGGTACCGGTCGAACTTGGCGATGACGAAGTGGAAATCCACCAAAGTGAGTTTGTGGCATGACAGGGGGAGCCCCAGGTAGGTCTGGGGAAACCCCTCCACCCGGCACCCCATGACAGCCACGACAACAGCCAAAGTGTCGGCGTCGATGTGCATGGGGACCAGCGTGCTCTTGGAGTAGTTGATAATGAGCCCGGTAGCAGCAGCGAAGTCGTCGAGCGTGGAGCGAAGCCGGGCCGCCGCGGACGGACACGCGCGCATAATTATCAGCGTGTCATCCGCGTACCGAAGCACGAGCAGCGGCTCGCCATCCACCAGTATCGTGTTGTTAATTAGGATGGATATACACGCTGTCACTAGCTAGTATGCTCCATATACATACTCTGTATCGTGTTGACTGACTGACTAGAGAGAGAGATGTTTTTTTTTGCGAATGACTAGAGAGAGATGTTGGTTGGTCGTGTACATACAACAGGTGCAAGAGTCGAGCCTAAGAAGGCAAGCCGTACAACAAAGAAAACAACAAGATAGACAATTGTCACGCTTATTTTAGTGGCACATCCGACCCAGTGAGTGGCGGTCCGTGGTTGGAGGACAGAGCAGACCTGCGCGTAGACGGTGAGGTGAGAGTGAGATACCACCCGTCGTTGCACATCCTTGGCAAGGTGCCGTCCATGTCCTGCCGAGCAGCAGCTGTGGTGCGATGTACACCTCGATTGGTCGGAAACAAACTGCATGCCGCCAACGGAGGGAGTGTACCGGAAGGAGGACCAGCTGCGGACCTGCGGCCTGACGTTCATAAGCTGCTGGGGCAGGGGAGAAACTTGTTGGGATGCCGATATGGTTTGATTCAGGTAAACCTTGTTCCTGAAGAAAGCGGTAGTACATGAGTGCTTATATTATACTCCCTCTGTCCCATAATATAATATAAGAGTGTTTTTTTTTCGACAGAATATAAGAGTGTTTTTGACACTACACTAGTGTCAAAAACGCTCTTATATTATGGGACGGAAGGAGTAGTATATAAATGCAGCTTTACTTCTGTCAAAAAAATTGCTTCACCCCTTGGTTTTTATTTGGCCGTGTTATCTGATGGCACTGTAGTACTGAACTTGTAGATAAATAGTGTATTAAGCATGCATGCTATTCCCATATGGCGTACTCTAGTCCTGCAAACACTCTATCGAGGCTTCCGTGTCTCCGTGTTTTTGCTCCAAATTAAAGGAAAGACCACAATCTCTGAAGCTTGGCCTTTTGTTGACAGTAACAAGCAAGAGCTCTGCTTTTGGATTAGAGAAGAAGGAAAACAGTTGAAATTACAGTGGAATGACAAGGCCACAAAGAGAGCACAAAACCCCCATCATACAGTACAAACAACCACAGGCGACAGTTCTTGACATTACTCGTCGATCCAAGGCCTCCTCTGAGATTCCATCCCAGCTAGGGACGCAGGGTTACAAGGCCCCAGGCAAGGAAGAAGAACTTTCTGCTGTTTTCCGAGTTTGCCTCCTTTTTTCTGTTCAGTGCTGTACGTAGTCCTTGGTTTCACAATGCATCAACCTTGCCGTTTTCAAACAGATGTTGGTGAGAAATACTGTTTTGTTGCCGCTGTCGATGGATAGATGTGATGCTGCAATGCACGACGCTTATGGAATAACAAAAACAAAATGGACATTGCCATTGCCATTACAGATGGCATGAATCGTCTCTACATAGAGTCGGAGATGGAATCAACATCATACAAGAATAATAGAATTTCCCCCAACTTTGAAACAAATGCAAGAATCACGTAGTACAACATTTATTTTGTCCCAATGAGTTAACAAATACAGATCAAGTAGCTGGCCCAATAATGTTCATTACATATAAAAAATGAGGTACTATCAGAAATCATGACCATAAGACAAGATGGTTGAGGTCACACCATGTCAAGGAGATCTGAGTTGAAAGTTTTACCAAGCCGAAATCTGAGCTTCAACACCGGCCATTCGCCCAGCAGCTTAGTGAGAATGGGCAACAAAGCTACCATGACGCAAATTGCAATAGCCAACCAGTGAAGACGTGGAGCCAACACAGTGTATAAACCAGTTGAAAAAGCTGTGGTTGTTGCAATGTATGCAAACCACAGGAGCTTCTTAGTGAAGGATCTGTAATAAACCAAGAACTCATAATCCCCCCACCTTCCTATGATGCATATGAAGGCTACGGCAAAAGAGGAGCACATTGCCAAGACGTCAGAGATCAAGAATGCCTGAAAAGCAAACTTCTTAGACATGATTGGAAGTCCCTCGCTTCCATCATCGTTGTTGTATCCTCCAGGCAGGGTGAAGGCAGCGGCGAAGGTGATTGTCGCAATGAGGATCGCCACTAACGAAGTATTGCTTGTGTATGTTTGAGTTAGTGATTTTGCATCCTTCCTTGATTCTTCAGAGGCCTTTCGCTTGGCAAAAATCTGAAGATTATGAAGATTGGCAGCATCCTGTGGATTAGCTTTCGACATAAGCATGGCCACTTCATTCTGCATGAATCCAATGAAATAAGGTAAGGTAAAACTCATGGTGTTAAAAGTAGAACTGGACTATTCTACTATCTAAAAATCATTGTTACTCACAGTAGTTTTTTAGTTCGAAATTGCGCGGCAAGGATAAAAACACATGGCCACCCCTGTATAAACTGATCTTGAAATAATCACCTTCAGGTAATATCTTATTTAGTTCTCCCTTTGTAGTGACCTAAAACGTCCAACATTTGTTTATAGAGGGAGTACCTTCACTAGGCAAATATCATGCCAATGAGTCTATTTTAAAGAATAGAAAACATACTATAGGGGCTGTTCTACATTTTACAGTCAAAGATAGTCATGTCTACGTTCCAATCGAAAGGATGTCAAAAAATACATTTCTACCTAAAGCATGTGCATTGCCTACATTCCTATCTAAAAAATGTCCAAATAAATACATTCCTAGCTAAAGCATGTGCATTGTCGGTAGGTATGGGGACCTCGCACCAAGAAACTCCGTGTTGGTCGCACTCCACGAGCGCAATCGAGGGAGCGAAGTCATGGGGAAGGCGAGGATACATCATGGCTCATGGGGAGTCATGCTGGCAGAGATGTCGTGCACGGGCTCCTCCTCATCGGTCATGGCATCGACCGATGTCTAAAAGCCCACCCCATCATGTACTTCCGCAGCAGTCGGCCCGTGCTCTAGCTCTCACCACCGGGGACACCAGGGTGGGATGGATCGATGTGTTGATCCACCACGCCGTCAGGAGGCACCCCGTTGCCTGGAAGGACCATGCCTCCACCCTTGCAGGCGTCAATTTGTTCACCACCGACTTCATTGCAGCGGATGCTTTGTCAATTGTCATGGTGGCACTGCTAGGAAACTACTTATATCTGGAGTCATACTGGTACAAACATACTAGTGGCGGGCGGCCAAAGGCAACCATCACTCATAATCTTGTCCCATGTTAGCCGTGGGTCAAACATACCAGTGACGGGTGCACCACCATGCTCGTCACTGGTGCATCACATACCAGTGGCGCGACCACCCGTCAGTCCGTCACTGGTAATCGGCCCAGATTAGTCGTGGGAGGAAAGTACCAGTGAGGGATGCCCTTTCCTGCCTGACACTACTGGTATGTGATTCGAGTGTTTTTGTTTTTTAGGGGTTTAGGGTATTTTTTGGGTTTTAGTATTTATGGTTTCATGGTATTGTATGGAAAATTATTTGAACTTTTTAGGATTTGTTTCCTCTATTTCTGGCCACTGCCCTCCTCACAATATAAACCGCCTCTATTCGTCATGGAGAATTTTTTATTTGAAAAACAAAGTCATGGCTAACAACCAAACCAACAATACAAATAACATAAAACTTTAGAGAAATTGCAGCGAAGTCCTAGAGGGCCGGCCATCTTCCACCTCTTGAACAGGTGGATGGCCCGCTGCATGCCACTCTATGGCTAGAGACAACCCATCGTTGTTGACCAGGGGAAGAAGTCACCAAGGCCATGGTCCCGTCGGACCATCACCTTGGAGAAGAAGTCGACACAACATGAAGAGTCATAGATCTAACTGCCTAAAAGTCAATTAATTCTTGTAGGCCTCACACCGGCACTGAAGGGTATGTCGAAGTGATGGAAATGTGTCCGGAAGACCCATCTGCAAACGGGAAGCCAATGTCATCGCCACCTCGACATAGCCTGCAAACTTAGCCTCGATTTTACAACAAAAGACATGAATCTATGCCCGCGACCATCGACGATGCTGCATACAACACCGTCTATATGGGAGGGTTCGAGGAAAATTTCTTCGTCCGCTGCAACCATCAATGATGCGCCGTCAGAGACGACATGCACGCAGATGCCACCCCCAGAACAACCAAAGCGACGGACTGCAGGCATATCTAAAAGCACCAAACAGGGAAAACTATATATGTATCAATTCAGTAGACTAGGCTCCTACTCTGCAATTTGTAGGGGGGAGGGGGCGGTGACCTACCGACCAAGGAGAACTGGTTGTGAGCATTCTTACTTTGCCTGTAGTCTAGGGTATGGGGAGAGGAAATTTCATAGCCACACTTTCCTAGGTGGATCGCAAAAAATCATATGGCACACAAGTTGACTTCATCACCGATATTTATTCGCACTTAAAATATGAGTGAAGTGCATTGTAGGTCCCTAAACTATTTTAGGAGTATCATATAGGTCCTCAAACCAGGTCGTCGAAGTGCAGTAAATGTATCATTCAGGTCCAAAATCTATCTGACCCCGCCTGACCGGCCAACTGGCGCCATTAACCCATGACACGTCAGACATGGGTCCCGCAAGGTCAAAGCCGGTAACGGAAATATGCCAACAAATTCAGAGTCATGAACCATTTTAAAATTCACGAACTTTTTTCAAATTCATGAACTCAAGAAAAATCTGTAGCCTTTGATTAATTTTTCGTCAACCATTTTTTTGAGGAACACACAAAACATTCATGAATTTGAAGAAAGTTGGCACAAATTTAATAAATATTCATGAATTTTTTTAAATGTTCACAATTTTTAAATTTCTTACGTATTTAGAAATGTTCACGAATTGGCAAAAAATGTCATGAATTTGAAAATATGTTTACAAATTTACAAAATGTTCATCAGTTTAAAATGTTCATGGTTTCAAAAATATTCACTAATATAGAGAAAATGTTCATGATTTGAAAAAAAATGTCCGCGAATATTGAAAAAATATTCATGACTTTAAAGTCGTGAAAGTATATTCATGAACATTTTTTTAAAAGTCATGGAAGTACATGAATGTTCGCGAACATATTTTTCCATATTGACGAACGGCGGGAACATTTTTATAAAGTCATGCACATTTTGAATCTGATTGACACACTTACTATGCTTCCAGGACCTAGATGCAGATTTTCATAGTTTAAGGACCTACATGACACCTCTGAAATAGTTCAGCCACCCAATGAACTTCACTCCTTAAAATATAGGCACATCAATAAATTTAAGAATACTTTGTAATGGGAAATGTTACATGTAAATAACAACATTCGGTATTTATCTGAGCCATGGTTCATAGACTTGCAAAATAAAACTTAATTTGTGCATGTTAAATCCTAAATTCGTTTACTGTTATTTGTTTGTGTGAGCAAATAACAGCCCGAAGTTGTGTGGCATTGCCTAAAACTGTTTTGGTTGGTGCATTAGAGATAATTATATGATTAGTTTGCATGCACAGTAGGAGTTACAACAGAATAAATTCATGCTTTGCCATATTTGTATGAGAAAAGTACGTTTTTGGTCCTTCAAATTTACAGAAAGTCGGCATCTCATCTCTCGACTTTGTTTGGTCAACATTTGGTCCCTCATGTCTCAAAATCAAAGACACTCTGTCCAAAACTAGAAATGTCAAGTTGCCACTCATCGAAAAACAAGGTACAAACTCCATCCACCCGCATCGGGCCCAGGAGGCGACCCGGAGGAAACAAGATACCCGCCGGTCCTCCCCCTTTCCTCCTCCTCCTCCCTCGCTGCCGCCCGAGGGCACGACCAGGCGAAGCCCAGCCGCCACGGAGCTCTTGGTCCTCCTGCTCGAGCGGGGTTGGCGCGGGCCGGAGCGTCATGCAAGTGCCGACCGTCATGGCGGAGCGGGGGGCGGATGCGATGCTCCCGGGGATCTACTCCTCTGCGGTGGGCGGCCGATGGTCGGGCATGTCTGGGTCGCCAGGGATGGTGGCGGCGCGGGTGCGTGTCCATGTTGCTGCATCTGCTGCTCGCCTCTGCTTTGCCGCTGTCGTGCATGGATGGGGAGTCATGCGGCATTGAGTCCATGGTCGACATGCGGCCCTAGAAGATCGATTTGACGGAGGTCATGGACGGGCACACAATCGCACTCACTCGCAGTCGATGGCGTAATGGCTAGCATGCGCCTCGTGCACAACAGCGCCACCCGCAACCCTGCACTTCCTCCTCCTTCTACCACTCCTCCCGAGCCACCATCCCTTCCAGCAGTGCCATTGCCTTCTCCCTCCCGTCCCCGTCCAGACACCGTGATAGCCATGACCATCTTGTGCTCCTCTGGCCACCCGAGATCGCCGTGCGTCCACGCTGTCGGTCTATGCAGCCGCTCATACATGCTGTCATTCGTGCTGGACCAGCCCCTGTTCGCGCGCGCCATGGCAGAGAAGTCGGGCGACGTGGAGGTGGCGAGGGACGACTGTGGTACAGCTACCGCCAGCGACAGCGAGTGATGCTGACTTTGAGCTCGGCAACATCGGCGTCAGTGTGCAGGGTGAATGCACACAAGGTGCTTGATAAAATGTAGGAAAGAAAGACTAGAGAAGGAGAGATAAAATGCCACGTGTCTGGTTTTCCACTGAAACCTGGATTAGGGCGGAACTAACACGGTTTTCGAGACTTGAAGGACCAAATGTCTCTCAAATTCTTTTGAGGACCAAGTGTATACTTTTTTTGAATTGAGGGACCACAAACATACTTTTCTTTATTTGTAACAGTGTTTATATGCATGATTAATATATTATTTGCACCAATGTCTATATGCATGATTTATATTATTTGCAACATACATAAGTACCCAGTTTAAAGTCTTGGCAGTCTGCATGACGCTAGGCCTGGACTGGTCCCAGGCTGCTGAATCACCTTCTTTGTCCAGCAATGTTGCATCTATATCCACGTGAGACAATAAAGCAGCAACCATTCTAGGATTGCATTTTCCGACTGCAAAATGTAGAGCGGTACGTCCCTCGTTGTCTTGCACGTTAACAAGCTTGCGAAGTATTGGCGCCCTCAGGACAAACTCAAGGAACTCTGGTTGATCAAAGAATACAGCTGAATGAAGCAATGTCCAACCATCTGGGTCAAGATAAGGAGCATCAGGACAGTGTTCCAGAAGCTTTCGAGCAGCAGCAACCAGACCTCGGCTTGACGCAGCATTAAGGAGAGGATACCCGTTGTTACCTATTAAATACCCTAAAGTTGAGTCATGTTCCAGCATTACTTGTAAAATGTCAACCCTGTTGTATTCTACAGCAAGTGCTATTGGAGTCTTTTTTGTTATGTCAGCTTCTCTGGCCAATTCAGGACGTTTCTTCATAATTATTTTGACGTGTTCTGAGAAAACAAATGGCAGGTTAACAGTGTGAAAACATACTGTAACAAACTGTAATTTGCAGTCTAAGATATTATATGTCGCACCTTGATCCCCATTCTTAACTGCAGCATGTAGACAATTGCGACCGTGTCGTCCTCCCGAAGAAGCAGACAAAGGATTTTGCATCAGTTTCTCAAAAACCTGTTTAAATTTTCTCATCACCGTGAAGAACATCGGTGACTCGTTGTGCTTGCCCACAGCTTGCGACAGCGCAGGCTCTGCTGCTATCAGCTCCAGTGCAAGATCCTTGTGGCCGTTGCGAATGGCGTGGTGCAGTGCATTAAATCCATACTTGTCTTGTTGCAGGATTGCCTGTCTCAATCCTAGCACAGAGCAGTGTCGACCGAGTAAAAAAGAAGCCAAAGAGATGTGGCCATTTCTCACCGCGGTGATAAGTGGTGTCTCCCCGTCCAAGTTTACAGTGTTGATGAGAGACTCTTCCAGTCCCAGCACGTCCTTGCAGAACACCCCGTGACCATAAATGCAGGAAATGTGAAGGCATTTGTTTCCCAGCGGAGTTGTTCCACGAAGAATGCTTCGATCCAGTGCAGCCATGGCATACATTGACGTGGACGCACCACATGTGGCTGCTTTTATGAGCCGTTTGTCCATTCCTCCTGATGAACTAGTTGTTGTTGTTGTACTAGCTGCCATCTATATTTTGCGTTTACTGCAGCAAAAAGAAAAAGGTTAGTAGTTAGACATTCTTATTAACACATGAACTAGGAATGGTAGCTGATGCAATCATTGATCAAAAGCAAGAGTGGTTTCATACTAGTACTTGATGGAGCTTCATTTATTATTTTGCTATGTCAAAGAAATAATGTTATCTCGATCAGCATCTGTTGGCTGTAATAGACTAGCCGGATGTGATGCTAACGAGTGATCTCATTAACAATGCTTCTAATGTCTATCTTCTCTATCTCTTCGATATATAACAATAATAGATAAACTACTTAAAAAGAACCTAAGGTTCCATCTTTCACTCAGTTTTCTCCCCACCATTCTTCGTCCAACCTTTCACCGCTAGGAACAGATATATCTACGGTACGTAGCAATAAATTCACATCCATAAATGAATTGTTTTCATTGTAAAGCCTGATACAGGTCAGAAGTCTTTGGCAACTTGATAAATAGCAATAAAATCCTGGTCCGTACACAAATAAATATCAGCCAATCTCTTGCCTATGGTAACCCAATAAAGCAGATCAATCGTGCACATGCCTATTTTGTCTGTTTAAGAAATGACAGAAAATTTACGCTTTGTAGAACGAAAACACAATTTTATTTTGCCTGCCCGTTTTGCATCAAGACTTATACCGTATGGTCGTCTTATTGTGTTAAAAATATTTGGTCCCTGTGGTAACGCATGGGCACATATCTCTCCACTAAAGAAGACCTTAGGAAACCTGCCCTGTATGTCTGATTGCCACATTTTGTTAATCTTCTTTCCTCTTCATGGTTGGCTCGTGACACAGAACAAACGTTGCAAAAAAGAGAAACATGGCAATGGGTATCCCAATTTGGTCGTCCCTATAGATATGCAAGAGCACAGAAAAATGGAAGTGGCAAAAAAATGAAGGATCACAAGTGCAACTAGTACATTAACTCAAATTGATCGTATATTTTAGACCAACAACTCAAGAAGTGATCGATTTAGGCCATAAAATCATTGATTCTGATGCTAACACCGTACGGAGGGAAAATTTTAAAAACATGCTTTGCGTGGGGACTAGAGAACGCACAACCTTTTGGCATTAGCAAGCACCTTGCTAACCACTGGACCATCAACTTGTTTGTGTATTAAGAATCAGCCGACCATATTTATTAGAATATTAATTCCTCCGACGTCCCAAAATGCAAGATTATTCTCGACACTAGTGTACAAAATGATCTTACATTTCAGGACAGACCATTGGAATACAAAATATTTTATGTATCTAATGGTTACATAGTACATATAAAATCAGTGGAAAATAAAAATGTATGTCGAAAGTATCATTCTACTCCGTTCGACTCCAAATAATAGGTGTACACCATTTTTTATTTTTCCTCCAAAGATGGCGCATCATCCAAATTTTATGGCAAGAGCCTAGATTATCGTTTGTATCTCTCTTCCTGATCAGTTAGCCGGCGAATCCCTCCAAAGCCGCCATCAGTCTGCCTCGTCTTCTGTGACCCTAGCCTCCCTAGGGCCATGGGGTGTAGTGAATCTCGACCTTTGCCGTTGGGAGGTCTCCCTTTTTAGGTGTTTTTCTGTGTGTTTTGTTAGGGTTTGTGTCATGCTCATGAAGATGAGACAATGCTGGCTCCCTGAAGATGGAATAAGGTTCTCCCCACCTAGCTCATGTCTCAGTGGTGCATCTAGCATCATTGGAGGGTGTGTGGAGGTGTGTCTCCGGCGGATCTCGTAGGATTCGGTCGGTCGTTGTCTTTGGGGATCTACTTGGATGATGTCTTAGTTTGTCTACGTTCATGTGTCTTCTAATTGGATCCTTCCGATCTACGCGTCTCTTCATTGGCGGCAGTTGCTGTTCTGGTGCGGTTGTCCAATAGGGTCTTAACACAACGACTTCCCGACTATCTACTACAATAAGTTTTGTTTGGCTCCGACGAGGGAGGGACGATGATGGGTGGCTCGTCTTTGACTCGCTTCAGTGCTTGTACTCCCCGCTATGTGGTCTACGAATCTTGATGTATTTTTTATAATTTCTAGTGCTCGGTGTAGTACCGAGTTTGAAGATGAAGGACAATACTTTTGCTAGTCAAACATTGCCCCAAAATACGATGGGCACTAATAAACCCGGACGGAGATAGTACCTCCTATAATAACGTGCTAAGAGACGATGCACTGGGAGAACTCTTATGGGTGGTTATGGAAGAAAATACCCGCATGATTCTTTCCTTAATCAACTAGCCCGAAGTTATGCGCCTAGTTTTTGCGATTGGAGCGAGTAATAAATAGAGTCTGCGGAATTGTAGGACACAAACAAGTTTGTGATCTAGTGGTCAGCAAGGCCCTCTTTTCCTCTATGGTTTGTGAAAAAATAAATGGCCAATTTGGTAATAGATCCACCTAGAGCACACACACACTGCTACCATAATTTTTTTAAAGTGACAATTTTGCAAATAAATCCATCTAAAAAATAGATAATTCTTGAGCGGTCAAAGCAACGCTTATATGGCAGCCATACGGCTGTTTTTTTTTCATTTTGAATGCTGGTGAAGGAAAGAAAAGACAAATTGTGCTATGGCTTGTGAGTGATAGTAATTGCAAATATAAATTCAAACCGCTTCATGTATGGATCTAAACATTTGTTTTTGTATGGCGCGACAAAGCACCATGTGTGAATGTTGACACGGTAACTGATTCGCCTGAAAATTCGATCATATAGTAACAATTGCCCCTGCTAAATGTGTTAAGAATTGAAATTCTACTAAAAAATGTTATAATCCAGTGGGATCCTAATTAAATATTGCTGAACAAAGCAATTTTACAATACCTGATCGATCAGCTGTTGAAATTCACTGATGGCAAGCGATCGATCTTTCTTCTTTGTAGCCAAGGCATGTGCAAAGAGACAATTAACTGTGGTAGGACAACATGTGTCAACCAAGGCATGCGCGTAGCCCGGATCAACAAGAGTTCCTTGCAGGATTGTCTCTTGTATATAGGGCGCAATGATGTACCAAGCCAGGTTGCGAAGGAAAGAATATATACAATATATAAAATTGGCTCAAAGCAAAAGCTGCATTGCAGCAATGAACGGGATTGAAGAAACGTATCATATGGATCTATTCAAATCAAATAATATAAAGGGATAGGTTGCTTCATATGTGGGAAACGGTAAGGTTGCATACTTGTACTGCCAAGGTATCCCCTAATTAAACCGAAGCCCACAAACCTACCAACTAATCCTTCAAGGACGATTCTTTGATATATTAGTTGTTAATTCTGGGCTCCCTAAAAAACAGTAGTTAATTCTAGGCTAGCTGCTTCGAGGCAGGTGGTGGTTAATCCAATTGACCAAGGTAGGTACTAGGTGGTGGTTAACTCAATCAAAGTCTAAGCTTCAAAACAGGCCATGCATTGAGATGCAACCACCGGGATGTGGCTGCTTCAGGAGCCTTTTTGTCCATTCATGGTTACCCTCCTCCCGAGAACTACTTGTTGGAGTATATTAATTAATACAACCTTAAATTTGTTATATTATGAATGAATTTATTTTTCAGGAAAACTTTAAACAACTGATTTGGAAGTTGGTCGTCCGAGGTTTAGAAGTTCGACCAATGCTATATTCAAGATCTCATTTTGCTAAGGACTATCAGGAGAACGAATTAATTAAGGCGGGAATAGAAAAGGCAACCATTGCTAAGGACAAAGGCAGACTAGCTCAGTACCAAGGATAAAATGACCACTAAAGCTTGGACATATGTTTTCAATGCCCTGCTTCGGAAACCACTTAATCTTGCTTCGCTTGTAAGAAGAAGAAATACCAATTAAAAGGAATGCAATTCATAAGGAAGAGAATCCTCTACCTTTTTGGGTCAAACCAAGTAAACCAGGTAGATTACATACTGAAATGGAATACAAAGAACCAACTGTACACTTTTTATGATATTTGTTACAGATCAGTTAAATAATAATACCAAAAAGCAGAGCCTCAAGACAAAGTGATGAGGTCGGACTTACACCATGTCAAGCAAATCAGAATTGAAAGCTTTACCCAACCGAAGTCTGAGCTTCAAGACAGGCCATTCACAGAGTAGCTTAGTTAGAATCGGCAACAAAGCTACCATGACGCAAATTGCAATAGCCAACCAGTGGACACGTGGAGCAAGCACTGTGTATAAACCAGTTGAAAAAGCCGTAGTAGTTGCCACATATGCAAACCACATGAGCTTCTTAGTGAATGATCTGTAATAAAGCAAGAACTCATAATCCTCCCACCTTGCTATGATGCATATGAAGGCCACAACAAATGAGGAGCACATTGCTAAGACGTCAGAAATCAAGAATGCCTGGAATGCAAACTTCCTAGACATGATGGGAAGTCCCTCGCTTCCAGCACCGTTGATGTATCCTCCAGGAAGGGTAAAGGCAGCGGCGAAGGTGATTGTCGCAATGAGAATCGCCACTAATGAAGTGTTTCTTGTGTATGTTTGAGTTAGTGATTTTGCTTCCTTCCTTGATGCCTCGGTCGCTTCTAGTTTGGTTCTCCTTTGTAGATTATAAAAAGAGGTGGCATCTCGGGGATCAGCTCTCAGCATAAGCATACGCACTTCATTCTGCATGAATTCAATTCAAAGGTACAAATGAATATGGTGGTGTAATTACAAACTTAGAAATTCTATCACATGCGTAATACTTCAAAATTTTGATGTCAGGTTAAAGATGCACATTATATTTAAATTGATAAACAAAGTTGTTGGCAATGTTGGAAATAGCAGCCTACAAAAATGTTACTCTATAAATTGACACATAATTGTAATCTGTATTATAAAGTTTTCTATACTGTTATTAGACTTAGAAAAGAAAATAAATAAAATAGTTAAATATAAAAAATGTATGTTGCAGCATTGATTATTTTATGATGAGTTGGTTGCATAATAGAGGCAGGGCCGTCTCCAAGAAATTGGGGCCCCAGTGCGAA